TACTTGCTCACTCACTCACTGTCACTCACTCACTGTCATTCACTCACTATCACTCACTCACTGTCACTCACTGTCACTCGCTCACTCACTCTCACTCACTCACTGTCACTCTGTCACTCATTGTCACTCTGTCACTCACTCATTGTCACTCTCTGTCACTCACTCACTGTCACTCGCTGTCACTCACTGTCACTCATTGTCACTCTCTTTCACTCACTCATTGTCACTCTCTTTCACTCACTCAATCAGTCACTCAATGTCACTCATTCACTGTCACCCACTCACTCACTCAATCTCTCACTCACTCTGTGTCACTCACTCTGTGTCATTCACTCTGTCACTCACTCTCTGTCACTCACTCACTCACTCACTCACTCACTCACTCACCCACCCACTGACTCACTCACTCACTGTCACTCACTCTCCCACTTACCTACCCACTTACTCACTTACTCACTCACTTACTTACTCATTCACTCACTCACTCACTCACTCATTCACTCATTGTCAATCACTCTTTCACTCACTCACTCTCTGTCACTCACGCTCTGTCACTCACTGTCACTCATTGATCACTCACTCACTGTCACTCACTCACAGTCACACCCTCACTCACTGTCACTCACTCATTCACTCACAGTCACGCACTCACTCACTCACTGTTACTCACTCAAACTATCATTCACTCACTCACTGTCACTCACTGTCACTTACTTGCTCACTCACTCACTGTCACTCACTCACTGTCACTCCCTCCCTCACTCATTCATTCACTCACTGTCCTCACTCCCTCACTCACTGTCACTCACTCACTCACTCATTGTCACTCTGTCATTCATTCACTCAGTGTCTCTTACTGTCACTCACTGACTCACTCACTGACTGTCACCCATTGACTGTCACTCACTGACTGTCACTCACTGACTCACTCACTCACTCCCTCACTCACTCACTGACTGTCACTCACTGTCACTCACTCACTCACTCACTCATTCTCTATCATTCACTCTGTCCCTCGCTGTCACATTCTGTCACTCACTGTCACTCACTGTCACTCACTCACTCTCTCTCACTCACTCGCTGTCACTCTCTGTCACTCACTCATTGTCACTCTCTGTCACTCACTCACTGTCACTCGCTGTCACTCACTCACTCACTCACTCACTCACTCACTCACTCACTCACTCACTCACTGTCACTCACTCATTGTCACTCTCTTTCACTCACTCATTGTCACTCTCTTTTACTCACTCACTCACTCAGTCACTCAATGTCACTCATTCACTGTCACCCACTCGCTCACTCACTCACTCACTCACTCACTCATCCCGTACACTGGGCCAACAAGTGGGACATGAGGGTGGATGCCCCCAAGTGTAGAATCATGGTTCTGCACGGCCAGAGGGAAGACATCACGGGAATTGACTGGAAGATACAAGGTGGTATCAGTCCCAATGACTCTTATCAGTACATCAGGGTCGTGGTGGGCACCAGCTTCAGCCTGGATATTGTCCTGAGAAATGGCGAAGGGCATTCTGGTCATCCGTCTTCAAGGACAGCAAGGTCCCAACTCTGATCCAGCTTGTGGCATACAAGACCTGTGTGCAAACAGTCCTTCTTTATGGAGTGGAAAGTCTTTCTCGGACCCATTAGCAAAGTTCAGGATCAAGCAGTGAAGTGAATTTGTGGCAAATACAGGAAGTGGCTGTAGGGAGGGAGGTCTCCAGCCTACACTCACCCTGGAGGCAGAATTGGCTTCACGGCAGCATGTCTATTTGCAGACAGCTGACGGTGGCAATGCTCTCATGCATGTCATGCTGAGATGTGTTGCCCACAGCTGAACTGGCTCCAAGGTGACAATGTCTGGCTAAGGGATGTCAGAATTGATCCAGTCCTCTGACAGTCTCGGTAGTTCGTTCCTGAGCCAGGCGGGTCCGCAGTGTTCCAGGCCTCACAGTCAGCCTGGCTCATCGGCAGGATCTGGAAGAGCAAACCAGTTACTGGGAGCATGGAGTCATCCCACTCAGCTCCTGTTAACCCTGCAAGCCAGAGCCCTAACGGGTAGGGTGGTCCGAGCTGGACAAGCAGTAGAAAAGTTTGCCGGACAGCAATATCAATAGCAAGCTATGTGGTTTTAGCTGGTTAGACTCCAGCATCATCCCAAAGCACAATCTGGGGTCCACAAGTCTTGGCTCTAGCTAACCTGTGCCTAACACTTTCCAGAATTAGGTAAGCAGGTGCATCCCTTCAGGAGAGAGTGCACATTCTATTCCAACAATCTATCTCTTTCCATGTGTTGGTGGGATGCATGGAATTCTCAGCTTGATTTGGATATTCTTAAGCATAGTGATGGGTTTCCTCATGTGTCACACACCCGGATGACCAAAACAAAATACAATTTGCAAAGGCACAAGCATCACTTGTGCATTCACAATTCAATGCAAAATGAGACTTGGTACATCCATCGATGAAATAAGTGTGAACATATGACTTGTGAAAAAAATTGCATGATGCCATTTTATGCATCACTGGCAACTACGCTGTCTTATTCCTATACAGCGGTATGGTTGTCTGCTTCACCATCTGTTTGTCGCTATTATCACTGCTGGATGCCACAAAGCAACAAAATATTCCCAGCATTGTATAGTAATCTTCCTCCTGTGAAATCAAAACATCGCATTCTCATTTTCAGAATGCCGAATGTGCATTCTATGACTATCCCTTGTAGGAATATGCATCCCCACCAGACCTCTGCTGCAGTTAGGATTTAGGGGCAGGACACAGAAGCCATGAGCTACAACTTTAGTCTGTGACTTCTGTCATCTGCCAAAAGATAGAAAGTTATTAATTAAAACGACACCTGCATGAAGGTAACAGGCAATTAGCCACCACCACGACTCATTCCTTAAATCTCCATCTCAATTCGAATTTGCAAGAATAAATGAGCCGTGGCTATTGCCAAGAAAGTTGGCACACTCGTTTTGGATTATATTGTGGCCAGGGCATAACACACACCTGTACCATAACATCTCGTGCAACTTATTAATTCTCTTGGACTGGAAAGTTCTGGATTCAAATCCAGTTGAGTTCATTCAGCCATTAACCCTCGGCTCATAGTAGACCCCCCCCCCCCCCAGCTTGAGAAGGGAAGAAAATAGTCTTTGTTCCTATGCCTGAACGCTCTCTTGTGATCTTATGGAAATGTGCATGTGTGTAGGATAAAGTTCTAGGGCTGAGCTAGTTCTAAGTGGCATGACTGTCAACGTCCAGTTGGCTCACAGTGGTAGAAAGTCTCCCAAAATGACTTTAGTATCAGCAGATGTAGAGATAGTCAAGAACCTCATGTGCAGTGGAGCCTAATGCACAGTCCCTAAGAATGAGTACCCAGATCCTATCCCAATCAATTGTGTTCTAATCTCTCTTGTTGAAAGGCAGTATTTGGAGCCCAGGACCCTTTCCCCATCTTACCCCCCACCCCCCCCCCCCCCCCCCCCACTCCCACAACAAAACAAATCACCCAGCTCAGAGTAGTGTTGGTAAACGTGGTCTACACCTGACCACCAGGTTTGGTAAACGCCCACCTGTTAACATTTACAATGTAAGCAAAACCCGCTCTGCAACAATGCCAGCACGCTGGATGCGGAGCTCAGGCTATGATCAGAATACAGTTGCAGTCGTTGCAAATGAAAGGGTACCTATAGGAAACAGGATTGTAGTTTGTTTGGAACTAGAATATTTAAGCAATGTTGTGGGTGTGAAAAGCACTTTTGGTTCATAAAAGTCAAATTCTGTTTTCTTTATGCAATGAATATTTTACACCTTGTGTCACCATAGTTATACAGTAGTCGTTTTGTAACTAAATTACTTGTAGCAAAGTAAACGTAATAGGGAGTCCTGAGAATTTGTTGTCTTGGTGGCTGTGACAAATTGAAAATGTAAACCTTATTTTTTTTAAAAAAAGGGATTATTTTAAATTAATTTAAATGTATAAAGTATTTTTTTTCTACTACAGCAATAAATTGCATTTACGTAGCGACTTTTGTGTTGGGCGGAGATGAAGGTCTTGCAATGGAGCTGGGGTTTGGAGGGCAAGGAGGGTGGTGATGGGAGCATTTCCAGATTGGGCTAGAAGATGTAATGGATTTTAAGTAACTATTATGGGATGTTTAATGGTTTTATTTTGATTCTTTGATGTTATTAACATTTTTAAAATGCTTGTGAAGTTCAATAATTCGCCTGCTGTGCTTGAAGGTTTTCTTATCGCATGCTAACACCAGTGTCTGTGTGAATCCAACAGCTACGCAAAGGATAGTGGAGTGAGAGCTAAATCCCCTTTGCTCAATGATAGCAAGAAAAGTCATTATTGCAATTCAGAAAATCTGGGGGGAAAATTGGGCAATGTTCAGCTTTGGAGTGTTCATACCAATGTGTGGCTTGCCTGTGATCGCATAACTGGCTTATAAATTTACCTAAATGAAATGCAAACCCTGGAGTACCTGCACCTCGCCCCTCCTTTGCCTCCTTTAAGGCCCGTCTCAATCGTCTTTCGGTTTGGACCGTTCCTTCAGTCATCTTCCCATCTTCACCTCCTTTGCCCACCATCCCTCTTGCCTCCAACCCCTAGTTTGTTTGCAAACCCTTTATTATCCAGGGCCTTGGGACTTCCTCCCGACGTGAAAGGTGCTTTATATTGTAAACTTCACACAAGTCGTCACAATTGGGACCACTTATTTAATATTCTATGGGTTATCCAAAGTACGAATTATGTCAAACTTGCATAGAGCATAAACTCTTGAAAGGGACTTGAGCAGCTGTGTGGCAGGGATCATACGATTTACACAGATCAGACTTACGCGAGTTTTACTGCAAATGCAATTTGTGGTGGCAGTTGCAAAGGTGGTGCAATTGCTGTAACCTGCGCTGTGCTGTCCAATCCTGCTCAATGCAGTGGATGCTCTGCTCCTCCCCCTGGCCCTCTCCCTGTCTGTCTCTCTGCCCTGTTGGCTGCCTGGCTGGTTGGCTGGTTGGCTGTTGCCTGGGATGTCATGGCGCTGCCAGTGTCTCTCTGCTCCCCTCTCCGGGTGGTTGTGTCCAGGCTGCTGTGGGGAGGTCGCGGAGCCCCGCTGGCAGGAGGACATCTGCACAGCAGCGGCTGCAGGTAAGGTGATGAGTGGTCCTGATGCTTGTGCAGAGCAGAGCAGAGCTGGGCAGTGCAGGGCAGGGTAGTGCAGGACTGGGCAGTGCAGGGCAGTGCAGTGCAGGGCAGGGTAGTGCAGGACTGGGCAGTGCAGGGCAGTGCAGTGCAGGGCAGGGTAGTGCAGGACTGGGCAGTGCAGGGCAGTGCAGTGCAGGGCAGGGTAGTGCAGGACTGGGCAGTGCAGTGCAGGGCTGGGCAGTGCAGGGCAGAGCAGTGCAGGGCTGGGCAGTGCAGGACTGGGCAGTGCAGTGCTGGGCAGTGCAGGGCAGTGCTGGGCAGTGCAGGGCAGTGCTGGGATGCGCGGCTGAGGGGAACTTGACTTGACAGCCCGCAGCTCACGGCAATTTATTATTGCAGAAGATGAACAAAAAAAAAACCCCAAAGAGCCCTGACGTGCAAACACGACGATCAGTGAAACACTGCAGCAGCTGCAGCGATCCAGTCATTGCAAACGTGCACACCGGGTACATGTCTGCACCGTGAGCTGGGAAGGGGAATTTATTGGCTGACTTTGGAAAACCTGGGCATGAGGATCAGCTCGTATGTTTGCATAATACAGCAAGTGTGTGATAGTGATAGTAGAGAGAGAGAGAGAGAGAGTGTGTGAGAGACCTCTACTGGAGAGATGCAGAGGCTATAACCTGATGCTTATTTTTCAACAGTCTCTTCCTCATTTTGATCTTTCATTTTTTTTTTGATCCTTAGGCTCTTAACAATTCCATGATTTTAAATAGGTTGGCATTTCTTGGGTCCATTTACTCCTGAGAAATGTCTTTTGTAAAATATTTTGCAAAGTGTCGAGAGCCTTAACCGCCTGCGTATCTTTTAAAACCCGTGGGTACGATGGAATATTTATCTATCTCATGATGCAAGGCAACCCAAAGCGGAAAGGACATTGAGATTATCAGCCTGTCCATGCACGCGTAAAGAGTTGGTACTCGTTTCCTGAATTTACTTTTTTCAAACCCGTGACCAATCTCTGATTTTTCAACTTCTAATAGAGCACTGGTATTATAAGATAAAATGAGTATTATAAAAGACATGATAAATTATACTTCCGTTTGGTATAGGGCTTTTATGTTAAGAGACGTCTCAAATTTTTTCATGGGATTTACTGTAAAGTACAGTGTGATATATTTTGTAAGCAAACGCACCAGTCAATTTGTATTGAGCACTGTCCCGTGGAGTCCTGTAGCTCAGTGGTTGGAGCACTCGCCTCGCAAGCGAGAGACCTGGGTTCAATTCCGGTCAGGGCGAAACATTGGGAAAGTTTCCTTACTCCACACGATTAATAATAATCCCTCAGGAAAAAAAATAATAAATTGGTCATTTCAATCCACGACTGTTTGTGGGACACTGCTGTGCGCAATTGGCTGCCGCGTTTCGCCCACAAATATACGGTCAATTCACTTTACAGTCTATTCTGTGAAGCGCTTTGAGACGTCGAGAAGACGTGAAAAGTGCTATATCAAATGCAAGGATTATTATTATTACCACAAACACCCAGGAATTGAATGACCAAATTTATGTTGGAAATTGTTGGTGTGAACAGCAGGAGAAACTTCCTTTATGTTTAAAATAGTGTGCTAGGATCTCTAGTGTTTTACCATAGCACTATGCTGGAGTGTCAGACCAATTTATGACTATGGAGCAAAAACAGAAGTCGCTGGGAACATTCAGCAGGTCAGGCAGCATCTATGGAGAAAGGAAAGTGAGTCAATGTTTGGGGTCCACGACTCTTCGTCAGAACTGGTGCATGTTCGGAGAGAGAGGCTTTTAAGGACTAACAAAGAAGGGGGAGGCAGGGCAAGGAAGACAAAGGAAAAAATGGGGTAGAGGGCAGGGGATGATGGGTTAAATAGGTATTAATGATACAAAACAAAGGGGGGATTACAGGGGATTATCTATATTTGAATTAGAGTCCATTCAGCTTCATAGCAACTCTCTTCCCATTGTGAGTCCAGTTTGCATTCCCTCTTTCCATCTCCTTTCTGGAAGATAATGACTTGTTTCTTCTTTCCACTGGAATACGTTTCCACGTGTACTGGTTCCTCACTTTGTGCAAGTTGCCTTTCTCCATATTTACCTTGGATCGCTATTCTTAAGTATTATTAAATGTCCCTTTTCCCTGCTTGGCCTGAAGCAACAGTTTCTTTGTGACATTTTTAATAATAATAATAATAATTTTCACACCTCTCTGACATCCTTGGCAGTACACAAGAAAAAGCTTCTGTTAGATGATCATAACCTCCTCCATGGTTTCCTTGTCTACCCTCATAGTTACCTCAGTTTTATCAATAATCCTGGACTCTCAGACATTGGGCCTAGGCAGTGTGAGGAACTTGCCCAGAAAGCGCCTCGAGCGTCAGGAAACATTAATAGGATCCTCGTTAAGCCTTTCAATGTTGAGCTTATCCTCCTTGAACGACATCGCCAAGCAGTCCATAGCATGTACCACAAGTACCATACCATTGATTGGTGTTAGAACTACTCAGTGCCTATATTGATCATAACTTCTCAATTACTGCACCTCAGAAACTGAGAGCAACCAACACAATAAGACAAAAAAAGGTATGTATTTGCCTCACCTTGATGATTATTTTAGGTGTGGTGTACTCTGTAGGCAAGACTTGCGTCAGCTTGGCTCAGAGGTAGCACTCTCGCCTCTGAGTCAGAAGGTTGTGCGTTCAATTCCCACATTGAGATTTGGACTCACATAGTCTAAGGTGTCACTCCAATGCAGTGTTGGGGGTTGTGCTTTATTGTCAAAGATGCCGTTCTTCAGATGAGATATTAAACCGAGGCCCGGCCGCCTGTTCACTTGGATGTAAAAGATTCTATGGCACTATCTGTAAACAGAAGGGAGTTCCTAGTCAACAATCCCCAAATAAAATTGGTGATTTGTTTCATGGCTGTTTGTGGGATATTGCTATGTACAATTGGGCTGCTGGATTTGCTTACAAATATCTAGTCACTTCAGTTCACAGTAAATCCTCTGAAGCGCTTTGAGACCTCCTTCCAACATGATAAGGCGCTACACCAAATGCAAGGATTATTATTGTGCTGCAACTATGTGTATTCATCCTGAACTGATTCAGAAAGGAAAAAAATGTGTAAAATGATTGACCTCAGTACTTTGGCAAATGTAATATTTTTCTTTATTAATTGGCATAATGGATTCAAGTCACAATGTGTACTCTTAATTGCAGAGTACACTATATGGTCTTTGTCTGGACTAGAATGNTTTTTTTGCACTGTGGCAGATAATAATTGAATAGAGCACTAGTTATGCTTGATCTGGCTATCATGTACGACCTTCTGAGAATGTTTATGATTTGACATAGGAAACTTTCTGAAGCAGTAAACACAACTGCGAGAGATTGATGGTGGTTCAGGCTAACTTCCATTTATTGTCCAAAAGTCTAATTCAGTTCATTCATGACTAGCAGCAAAAATCTCACTATTCACATATGCACCATCAGGAAAACCTTTTAAAAGAGTATATATTTTTTTCCAATCTACACTGTGACTGGATCTGTAAAGATAGTCACGAAGAAGATTGGAGGATAACCCCTCAACTTGTATGTTTTGCAGTTTTCAAAAATCTTACCAATACAAAGCTTTATGTGGCTATGTGCTGGCCTGCTATAATAATAATCCTTGCATTTGATATAGCGCTTTTCACGTCAGGAGGACGTCCCAAAGCGCTTCACAGAACACACTGTAAAGTGAATTGACTGTATATTTGTGGGCGAACGCGGCAGCCAATTGCGCACAGCAATGTCCCACAAACAGTCATGGATTGAAAATGACCAATTTATTATTGTTTTTGGTTTTGGAGGGATTATTATTAGGCTCTGTGTGGAGTAAGGAAACTTGCCCAAGGTTTCGCCCTCTGCCTGGAATTGAACTCAGGTCTCTCGCTTGCAAAGCGAGTGCTCAACCACTGAGCTACAGGACTCCACATGCTATAAAGAAGGAATAATACAATTTGGCTGAAAATATGACATATGGTTTATATATTCAGTACAAGGTACATATGCATTACACGTTCTTAACATGGAGGCTTCAGAGTATAATCTTGTTGAACACAATAATTTAGCTTCCAAGTGTAAAAACAAAAGCATAAAACATGTTACAATATAACAATTATAGGAATCAAGGTTATTTTTATATCCGGCAATATCACAAGCATTCAAGTCTCAACAAGTTTCTTTCAGTGTTTCGAAGTCAATTTAAAACAATGGCTTCATAATTCTCCTTATTCATGAGCTAAGTAAGCATTGATATAATATTAATGGCATTGTATGAAAACCAACATACAGTGCATAGTGCCAGACCTAACAATGCTTTTTGAAGTCTACTCCGTTTTGGTACATTCTGGCTAGAATTCATAGCACACTTTGTTGCATAATCATTTTTGATATTATAATAATAATCCTTGCATTTGCTTGAAACGGAGTTTCGGGGTGTAGTGCTTTGAGACGGCCCCCTGATGCAATAAGAAGCTATACCAAATTCAAGGATTATTATTATTATATATTATTATTATTGGAACATGTTGTGTCCATTTTCAACTAATGGAGGGATGTTTATCCGATCAGTCTGGATAGGATTTGAAGGCAGATTTTGAAGGTGAAAGGATAATGGCTTTAATCGTTCCACCATCTGCTGTGCTTTTCTGCTGTCTGTTGTGCCAGCATATTTTCTTCTCTTCACATCTAGTATATTGTATATGAGTACTATTCTGGATGATGGGTGTAAAATCATGTCTTTTGTGCGATACCTTGTGTGGGTCTGAAATGCTGTACACTGCCCAGCACCTTGGGATGTCCTCCCAACGTGAAAGGCACTAATACAAATGTAATCTTGTTGTTGTTGCTGTTGTTGTTGTCGTATGAAGATAGAATGCGGGGGAGGGGCAGAAGAGTGTTAAATCCTGCCGCAGCACAAGTTTAGTA